CCTCGGGGATACATCGTGCAGCTCTCGCCATCTCAGAATAGTCCCTCTTCCCTCTCGGACCGTTCCTCTGATGGATTGACTACATCCCCTCCAGTGATTCTCCCTCCTAATTCTGCCTAYGACTGTGCYGYGGCCAATTCTTCCRGCTTTCACCYTGACCCTTGCTCCKCGCCCGTTCACTCCGAGACAAATACATGTCCTAGACCATGGAAAACACGAGTAAGACTAAGGAAAGGTCTCRCTCAACAGAGGTCGGGAACGCTGTCCTCGGCTCCTGCCTCGCCTCGTGACTCTGAAACACGAAATTTGCTCCCTGCCGGAATGAGAACCGCTCCGGTGGCCATGATAACTTCTCAGACCAGTCTGCGCTTCTCCTTGGACTTCCTTTATGGTGAGTCGGGCCGGCAGCTCGAAGTTCCTTCCCGTCCCCTCTTCTTTTCTTTGCAGCACCCGGCCACGATTCCGCAAATCCCAGTTTCGGTTCCCACTTCATCCTCATCTTCCCTCCGGGCAGGGCATCTGATATCACCCGAGGGCGGTGTTTCTCTTCCTGGGTCTCTCAGCCGAACACCCGGTTCCAGAGTCTTTCCTGGAATAGTCAACAACTCTTTGTCGGGTGCTTCCCCCGGTTTGCAGACCCCGTTACACCTGTCAGGTCATCGTGCATACCTTGCCAGTGGCGAAATTGGAAACTCTGGAAGGACACACGTACAAAATTCTGTGGGCCCGTCGCATGCCCCCTCCCTTGGCGGCGTTGCCTCTCCTTCTCCTCCCGGCTGTGGCCCTCTGAATATCAGGGACGTTTCTCTTGGACAACCCCAAATCGTAAACCCTTGCGGTCGGGCCGAACAGCTCTCGTCTTCTCTGCCCCTTCCATGCACATTCCAGTCGGCAGAAGATGCACACGTGCTTTTAAATCCTTCCCCTGCATTGGGTCCTCTCTCACCCGTMGGCTGCGCAACAGCCWTCCGGCCCACTGCAAACGGGCTTCCAGGGTGCCGATTGATCCCATTTCATTCATCCTCGGCTGTCCCAAGGGAGATGCTGCTGTCCCCCGACCCGTTGCCACGGCAAAGTGAAAGTGCATTCGGTAGCATAAACAACCCTCAGTTGAYCGCTGCTCGGGATAGCCGGCAAGCGAGGCAGTCCCGTATGACGATTGTCCGATTGAAACGTCAGCCCCGCCCCCTTCGTCTACCTGCTCGGCGCCTTCCCGGCAGCAGAACGACAGATTGCACTGCACGTGCTGTTGTCTCGTCGGCTGGCAGTTTACCTGTGCGAGTGCAGACACGGAATCCTGTGCCCTTGCAAGACTCTGTGCTGCTGCCCTTCAACTGCCCACGTCCTCTGCCCAACGAAGAGGTGGGTTTACATGTGAATCCGCAGCGTTCGCCTCACGTTCTTGCTTCGTGTCTTCCTGATCAACCCACACAGACACTTCAGGAAGGCTTTTCTGCTTCTGCCTTGCAAAGGTCGACAAGGCTTGAAATACGACGACGACTTGCGGGCCAGCCGATCGACCGGCAAAGTCCCAGCGAATGTATGACTCCCGCGTCGGCTGCCCGTATCATGAGAGCACAACGAATGCAGTCTATGATTCAGAAACGAGTTTCCCGATCTCGTGACGCTGCCCGGGCTTCGCACCCTGTCTGTGGGCCATCCTCGCTAGGGCATTTGGCTCCCTTCCGAGACGGACACCATCCTGTATGCACAATTGTATATTCATGACCCTTCCGAGACGGACACCATAACAGATGCTCGCGAGCTGATGAGAGCGATGATTCAACGACTGCAGCTTCTTCTGCGTCAGTGCCACCCATATGTTAAGGACTTTATTACATACGCAGACATGGATGAGAATGTCAGGGAGAACATTAAGATCGTTATTAACCCTCATGCGCGTCCTGAAGGGACACATGAGCGCAGATACAACAAACCGGAAAATTTCGAGGAGGTGTGCAYCCTCCTTGCTGACACCTTACAGCCTGATGAGGTGCAGGTTCGTTATAGACCCGATCGTAATTCCCCGTTCCCTTTCGAAAATTTCAAGGATGACAATAGAGCCTATGACCCGCTCCACTACGTGCTCTTCTTTCCCAAAGGAGAGGATGGTTGGTGTAAACAGCCCGACACTTCCAGGGGCAATCCAACTAAGATCACGCCTCGTGAGTTCTATGCGTTCCATCTGCATGAAAGGGTGGGTGAACGCATCACTCTTCTTTGTGGCGCAAGACTCTTCCAAGAATACTGCTGCATGGCTTTCGCTAAGATAGAATCTCGCAGGCTAAGCTACTTGGAMAAGAACCAWAACAAACTGCGGGCGGAGCATTATAAGGAGCTTYGCAGAAGTGTGGCAAACAATGAACACAGCAGTGGCGTCGGCACTAAAGTCATGTTGCCATCCACWTTCACTGGCGGACCCCGCTATATGACGGAGAAATACTATGACGCAATGGCTGTTGTGCAAAAGTTCGGTAAGCCCGACCTCTTCATTACTGTGACCTGCAATACTAACTGGCCAGAAATTAAAGACGCACTGCTTCCTGGCCAGTCAGCTTCTGACAGACCAGACTTATTGGCAAGGGTCTTCAAAGGCCACCTTGACCAGTTGATTCACGAAATTAAAGACAAACATATCTTTGGCAAACCCGCTGCTTTGTTTTACACAGTGGAGTTCCAGAAGCGTGGCCTCCCGCATGCCCACATACTGCTTATCCTTCACCGCGCTGATAAAATCACGACTCCGGCAGGGGTTGATGAGTTCATATCTGCAGAGATTCCTCACGAGGGACTCCTGCGAGACAAAGTCTCCACGTTCATGATACACAACATTTGTGGCTCAGAGAAGCCGTCTGCAGTTTGTACCAAGAACGGTCGGTGCACTAAACATTTCCCCAAACCGTTTGCTGAACGGACTACCTTTCGTCAACAACAAGGTTATCCTGTGTACAGACGTGGAGGTCCACAATCGGGCGGCTGTTCCTTATGTGATGATAGCATAACGTATGCCAACGGTCGCGTTGTGCCTTATAACGCCTATCTCCTGCTCCGTTTCAACTGCCACATTAATGCTGAGTACTGTGCTAATATACTCGCCTGCAAATATCTGTATAAATATGTGCTTAAAGGCTCTGACTGCGTTATGGTTGCCGAGCTGCAACCACAGCAATTGTCCAATGAAATAAAAAAATACCGTGATATGCGCTGCGTTGGTGCAAGTGAGGCTTGCTGGCGCATATTTGAATTCCCGATAACACGACAATGGCCCCCTGTCGAGCGCCTTTCTGTTCATCTCCAGGGCGAGGAGCCCGTTTGTTTCGAAGAGGGGAACGAAATTGAGGCAGCAGAGAATGGTCCTCCTCGTACGAAGTTAACTGCGTGGATGGATTTGAATAAGGAATTGAGAACAGGCGGTGCAACCGTTATCCTCCGTACGCAAACATTACGGATACGCATACGTGGCACCGAAAAACGGAAGTTTGGAAGCCTCGCATAAAAACAGGCAAGGCCGACACATTTCGGAAAATCTGCAGGTTGCGCAATGTGTCCATTGCTGAAGGGGATTTGTACTACCTGCGCATTCTCCTGCGCCACGAACATTCTCTTGAAGCAGCTTCCTTCGAAGAGTCGAAGACAGTTGACAACGTTACTTGCCAGACGTTTCGTGAGGTCTGCCAGCATTTACAGCTTCTGCACGACGACAAAGAGTACGACGCAGACATGAGAACTGCTGCAGACAACTACATGCCTTCCCAAATCCGTCAGGTCTTTGCCATGCTTCGTGCATATGGTCCCCTTGCCGATCCTATGTCTCTCTTTTTAAAGTACTGGGAACCTATGTCAGAGGACTACGTGAGAAGGCTGCCTAATTTGACACTGTCTCCTGCTGTCTTACAAACACTTGCACTTCTTGACATAGATGCTGAGCTCCTCGATATGAAAACAGACATGTCCACTGTCGGTTTGTCCTTCCCGGATATGGACGCTTTGCAGTGTGCTAAACAGCTGCGGAGCCGCCTGCTCTTCCAAGGGCTGCCAGAACTGATCCAAGAAGAGTTGGCCTATGACAGGGACCAACTCAACCTTGTCTGGGAAACCAATGTGCCAATGTTGCGGTCCTCCCAGCGGGTGCTCGTCGAGGGGGTTGTTGATGCTGTCCTCAAAAGGACTCCTCTTTGTGTTTTCGTTGACGCACCTGCTGGCACGGGTAAAACATTCTGTATTAACACGATTCTTTCCGGTGTTCGCCGTCATGAGGGCTGCATAGCTCTTGCAGTCGCCTCAAGTGGTATTGCATCGCTGCTCTTGCCGGGGGGGAGGACAATTCACTCCAGATTCCGTGCGCCCTTGACACCCGATGATAAAAAACCATTCGCGATTCCAAAGCAAAGCGAATTGGCCAGTCTTATTAGGCGAACACAACTTATAGTGTGGGACGAGGCACCCATGACACATCGCTCTCACTTGGAGGCCCTGGACATTACATTGCGTGATCTGTGTGACTCTGACCTCCCTTTTGGGGGCAAGGTCGTCCTCTTGGCAGGTGATTTCAGGCAGGTCCTCCCTGTTGTCAGATGGGGTAGTCGCGCTCAACAAATCAATGCTTGCATTAAGTCGTCCCACCTTTGGCGCTACTTCCATACTCATCAGCTCGACGAGAACATGAGAGTCCTTCGTCGTGGCAATGATGCTGTGGCAAGACAATTCGCTGATTTCCTTCTTAGGTTAGGTAATGGGCAGCACGACGTCGTTGACCCGAGTGATCCTGAGATTATAGAGCTGCCCCGCGAGATCTGTACAGATGGACCTCTGCTGGATCTCATTCGCTGGACGTTCCCACATGTGGTTGACCATCTGGGTGACATGGACTACCTCTCTGGGCGCTTAATACTTTGCCCCCGGAATGATGGTGCCAACTATGTGAATGACCTCATTCTTGAGTCTATACCCGGCCACACCACTGTGTTGCACTCCGTCGACAGCACACCGTCCGACTCTACTGGTCTGGATGTGCCTCCTGAATACCTTAACGCGTTGGAACCCTCAGGCCTTCCGTCTCACAGGCTCAAGGTTAAAAAGGGTATACCTATTATGTTGCTCCGCAACATATCTCCGAGAATGGGCATGTGCAATGGTACCCGCCTCATTGTAAACAAAATTGTGAATAACAGGTTGATTGAGGCTACAATCCTTCCCAACAAGAAAACTGCAGTCATTCCCCGACTGAACCTCACAGCGGATGAATTGGCTGGATTCATATGGCAACCCCGTCAATTCCCCGTCAAGGTTGCTTTTGCCATAACGATTAATAAGTCCCAAGGGCAAACAGTTTCCAGGGCTGGCGTCTGGCTGCCCAAGCCTGTCTTTGGCCATGGCCAGCTCTATGTTGCATTGTCGCGTGTTGGGCATCCCGATGACATCAGGGTTTTATTGCCTGATGCTTCAATGAGAACAAAGAACGTTGTCTACAAGGAGTTGCTCGCATGATGTTTTYTGCTTGCTTTCAGCTCCCRTCACGTTTCAAACTGGCCTGTTATGTGCTCCGCATTGCTAACATTCCTTCTGCTATCTGTTGTTTTCCTGTTTGCTGTGCCCTCCAGGAATGCGCATGAACGCTTGGAATCCGATCTCCCTGCCAACAGCATAGAGCGCTCTCATGAAGGACCGCACACCGCTATCGTCCACTTTGGCCGTGCCTCATCTCTGTATTCTGTATCCCTGCACGCTCCCATGCAGGACTTGACACCATAAACGTTGGTATAATGAATCTTGAATCTTCAAATGATGACCTGTGTCCAAACCACGAGTCGGTGAATTCGACAGCCAGCAGAACACCTGCCACCCATCCGTCCCTGGAACACATTCGCCCCGATAACATATCAGGCGCTGATTCCAATTCGCAAGATCTCCACTTACCTTCCCATCCTACTGTGACCTTCTTCGCAGGGTCTATTGACCACGACATTGACCCCGAAACAGTTGTGGCAGTCCTAGAAACGCAAGACACACTTCTGCCAGCCTCTGTGGAGGCCGATGCGGCAGAGACTCGCTTCCTTGCACTCAGAAATTCTATCGTGATTTCGGCACAGAACAAAGGAGCCATCATTTCTCCGAGATCGTCGTTTGCATCTGACGTTCATGGCACGAATCTCGATTTGCCATTAGGTCTGCAGGCAGGGACACCACCAAATTCTCTCATTTCCCAACCCGCAAGTGTTACAAATTCCCAACCCCGGTCACCCACTGCTGTAACTGCCCGCTCTTCGCTCGTCATCACGCCACCCGCTTCCAGCCTTTGTGACCGGAATCCGCACCTCCTCGTGACTGATAGAACCTCTGCCAGAGCCGCCTTGCCCGCAGATACTCCTTCGCCCTTGCGCCTTCCATTCAGCACAGCAATGACGCTTCCAGTGGACAGCCGACAAACCGATCAGTCTGCATGTTTTTCAGCTTCTGCTACGGACTCTCTCTTACATCCTCTTCTACACCGGACTTCCCACACGAGTCAGCACACAGAATTTGGGAATGCATCTCCACAGAATATTGCCAATTCTGATGGTCACAACGCCTCTGACGATCCACCTGCTTATGCACCGACCATTCAACCCCGCCATGATGCAAACACGATCCAACATTCCTCTCACGACTCTCCTACCTCTACGCCTGACYGTACCACGCCYGTTCATGAGAACACTGACCCGGTTGCTGGTCAACAGCGAATTSGAAAGTCCCAAAACCTTTCCAGCCAAGGGCATCCGGTGTMTGCCAACATGCCCCGSTCCTCCGATCTTTCTCAGCCGCAACGAGTGATTTCATCACAGGGCGCACTCCGCACAGTCCATGCCAGTCGCGACGGCCGGTATATAATCCTTCACCCTCTTCGAACGCAAAGTCAGCCAATCTGTCTACGCACGCCCTCTCCGCCTGTGGGTTCACAAAATCTTCATGCTCGCCAGTGTCAAGATGGGTCCCGGACCCCAGCTCCCCAATCCCTGTCCAGCCAGGCGAACGCGGCTATGGACAATATCCAGCATCTACCTCAGGTCCTACCGACTTCTGCAGAAACCGCTGGCAACGCAACCGACAACCATTCTAACCGGACTTCCGAAGACCCTTTCTCACTGTTTTCGCAAGAACATCTGACACAGCCAAATTTGCAATCTGCGACACCGGCTGCCTCCGCCGGTGTTCCTCATCAACAAAACAGCCCTTCCTCCCGAGGCACAAAACGCAAAGCTGTGCCTCCGGCTGGAAGGCCACACATTTTGCTGTCTAACACAACGAAAGTTCTTGCCCTTCAGGGAGGAACGTTTCTGTATCGCCACACCCCAGTCCGCGCCCCTATTTGGTTGGACAGTGCGAAGACAGTGAAGGTGAATGATCAGACGACACACCTCCTGTCTACGTGGACTGATATAGTGCAAAAGTATGGAGAGGCACGTCTTCTTAATGCCATACTCTTTGATCATTTTTATAACAATATGGAATGTGAGCCTGATGAGAATATGTGGAAAAACTTCCTCATGCACAGGGCAGAAATTGAACGGAAATTTCAGCCGGTACGCCCGGCCGATGATGAAAGGATTGTTGACAGCGGTCATGTCTTCTACGCTTTCCAGCTTCTCCAACTGATACTTAAAAAAGAATACGAATCCTTGCCTCAAACCGAGGTCCGGCATTATGTCAGTGGTATTCCTGATTTGCCGGAATCCGATACTCCTTTCGAGTTCTACCGATATGCCCGAGTCACAACTGTGGCTGCTCGCCTGCCCAGAAACCGCTCCCCTGAGGTGCCTTATGTCAGGGCCTGTGATAGACGGTGTCCCATTGCAACATATGGCCTGGACACATTCTGGGCGTCCCCGAAAATGTTCCCAAATCACACCTCTCACAAACTCGCTGTTCGCGAACGTCCTGATGCACCTCTGGCTATCGTATATCCAACATCTGATTCGATTCCCGCCTCCTCCCCTTTCAACAATGCTGGTCGCCGTGGACTCTGGCTGCCCCCGACACCTCCACCCTTCCCCCTTCCGCTCGCCTCTGCACTCGCACCTGCTGGAAGTGTTCCTGCCATCCCCTCTTCTTCCTCTACAAAATTAGATCCGTCACGGTTTGCTCGCCTCCATTGTATAGGTCCTGCCAAATCACTCTCCATCATGTCGACTGCGGAAACTAGCCACAGGATGCACAAAATTACTGCTGTGCTGCAGTTGAAGAAGAACGACATTAACGACTGGAGTACGCTGGAAGCAGCACTCCTCGTCGACTACATACGCCAAGGACACGACAAGACTCACAGCTTCCATGAGTATGTGAATGGTGCAATCGATTTCATCTGCCTGCAGCACAGCATGATGGGTGGGACCACTTACTGACACATCYGCGGTGTCCTGGGTACCCCGGGTCAGACTTGCTGAACTGCACCTCCTCCGGCYGAACTGCTCCCTAGCCYGTCCTTTGATTAAGAGGGCTCCCCTGCCCCCACGCGGCTTCCTTAGGACCTCAACAATACCGCGCTCAGACTGCATCCTCGTGGTACGAACGCCACAAGTCGCATATGCCCTTTCCCACCCATGCCACCTCGCGGTCCTACTTTGCGTCCTTGCCCGGTAAATGCACGCAGCCCATAATTAGGAAACCGCCCCATGCTACTGCTRCTTCCTTCTCCTGTCCACATCTGGTGTGCTGGCCGTCGGTTCTGTGGCCAACTTACGCTGATGCCGCGGGGTCTGCATTTTCCAACAGTCAACTCTGACCCCGCGTGTCATGTCCTGTTCGGCTTTTTTTTTTTTCCGACCGTGGCTGGCGGATCTGTCAAGTCGTCGTGACCGGGACCTGAAGGTCCACCTGTCACGCTTTCGGCCTCTTTTTTTTCCGGTCGGCGCGTTTTGGTCGCAACTTCACACGGCTACTTCCTGCTCGTCTCTGACCGTCGGTCCGGTATAAGTACCTGCTTCGATTGTGCCCCTATGCATAGTACTTCCATCGAGACATACCGCTGCCTTTTCAGATTTTGTTCTAACGCGCATTCTGTGCTGCGGGGTCTTCGGATCCGTGGTGCTAAGCTAACAATTACGGAGTGTAGGCCGCCTGCTGGGCCTGGGACATAAGGACCCTGCATTGTTCACCTGCACACGCTTCTTGACCTTTGCCGTTTCATTCGTAAGTCTTCTGCCCTGCCCGCGCACGTCCTCTTCCTCTACCTTCTCTTCCCCGCGCTCCRTCCGGATTCCTCCTCRCTCCTCCGCTTCCRCTGTGTGCCACCTCCCRTTCTTCGCTTTCTTTCTTCTTGCCAGCATGTCGCCAAAGCGYAACAGACCTGCACGGGACCCTTACTCCATCCGTGACAATGCARAACTCAACGAGAAGCTCTGCGGTCAGCACATAGCTGATAGAGAATCGAAGCTTGCGAGGCTGCTGGGCYGAGGGTTGCAGGAGGGAGATCCAAAAGTTGAACGCGTGCGTGACCAGATCGAGGAAGCCAAGGTGGAACGTCAACGATATCAAGACAAGGTCAATGAAATGCAGGCAATAATTGACTCTGGGGACATTGATGACGATGGTGATTACCGAAGTGAAGGAGAATTCCTCTGGGAGGGTGACACCAACACATCTTCTTCAACTCCATCAGAGGAGATCGTAACAGATTACGCTGTTAGTGGTATTGAGGCGGAGCAGGACTTGGACGCCAGCTATTCGGATGAGGACGAAAGCGACACCAGCGACACCAGCGACTCCAACCACTCCGGCGATGACAACGCTTAGATGTCCAGGAACTGGTCATGGCCCGGGGAGTGTGTTCCTAACCTGGTTATGAATGCAGATGTTCAACTGATATTTGGGTCGTCTTTGATTCCAACAATTGTGTCAATTCCCTGCTATGCTTCTCCGGCGGATTCACCGGTGTCCTTCCTCAAACAAACCTGGGCTCTGGCTAACTGGGTCGCACAACAATCTGACCAATTGAAGCACAATCGTCGTCGCCGTGGATCTCTGGTCACGGTCTCCTTGCGAGTCGTGCCACTGTGCACTCCTTCGTGGTCATTGCATCGCTGTGGGCGTTTTTTTGTTGGGGCAGTGGATCATAAATCTTTTGCGGTTCTTCTGCTCGCGTTCAGTTCTGTCTCGGTCGTCTTTTCAGAACTTCCGTCTGTCGTGGTGATCACATTCGACTTTTGTAAAGACTCAGACGGTGTGTTTTCACCTAATTGCGAATGTTTTTGGTTTTTGTAAAGACTCATACGGTGTGTTTTCACCTAATTGCGATTTCGTCTGTTTGGTTCTCGTGTGTTTGCTTTGTTCTGAACTCTRTTTGACATCTTGCTTTCCAGCATGTGCTTTCGGCTYCACTGCCACTTGCACTCACTAAACTGTCCTGGATATGCACCTGATTTTTCACCARGGTAGCAGTGCAACTTCCGTGTCCTCGACCACACGTCCCACACTTTCACCTCTTCCATTATTCCCGCTTACGAAACCCGTGTGTACGGCGTTGCTTCTACCTGGACTGACTGTACGGGTTGCTTTTTTTGGGACTCGTCGTCCCGTAACCTTCTGTGCCTCTTCCCCTCGCGTTGACTTCTGTATCTGTCCTCTTTTCAAATCTTTCCTGCTTCCTCGTGTCCTCCTCCACTTTTGTAACGACACATGCGGTGTGTTTTCACCTAATTGTGACTGCTTTTCGCCTCGTGTGACGACTGTTTCGCATCTCCGTTTCCTCCGTGTGATCTCCATCTCTTGTGTTCGTTTGTTCTGAACTCTCTTTGACATATTTGTTTGGACCATGTCCTTTCGTTTCCGACGCCACTTGGACTCCCTAAAATGTCCTGCATATCCACCTCCGTTGTCCCGAACCTGCCAATAGAACTTCCCTCTCCTTCATGGGCCCTCCCACAGTTTCACTTCTGCCACTATTCTTGGTTCCAAAACCGCTGTGTCTGCCCTCGGCAACCGAAACATCCCTTCTAACTTCGTTGACTCCCAACATAGACCTCACTGTGTCTCCCTCCGCTATGCAACGAATGGCTTCTATAAATATATAAACGATTTATATATTTTTTTGCTTTTATTCTTTGTTCCGCAAAGTGCGCTCTTTTGGTTTGTAGTGATGTGACAATATATATACGTATACAAAGATGCGTGCAGACAGTCAGAGTTAAGGGAAAGCAAGGGAACACATTCTCAATACCTCCCTTCTCCGATCCATTTCAATAGAAGCACTTTTTTCAGTACTGCATTCCTCCTGTGTGTTTCTTAACTTCGGTTTTCGATCACATTGTTACACCTCCTTCTGGCCCTCCAATTGTTACAAACCGTCATGCCCCGCATCTAACCCTCAACAACCGTGCATATAACTTCCTCTCGTGCTCGCAAGCATTTGACCTCCCGCAAATTTGCATGTTGCTTTAGCGCTTGGAAAAAACAGAAATTGTTCCCGTAGCTATGTCAAACGTCCTTTGTGTTCCTGGACTGTTCTCCTCTTACGAGTCCTTCTGTTCGTATTTTTTCTCCCTCCGCACTCGATTGACTCCACCTCYTTACCCCGGCTCTTCTCTAATARTCGAAACATATTTCTGTCCTGGAATATTTCTCTCGTGAAATATATTCATGTTGCGATACCATAACTCCACGGCAGACCAGTCACTCTGACAGTAAAAAATAGAAACTTCATTTCCTGGTCTAACAACTCGTCTGCCCGTCACTTTAACAGCTCAAAATGCACCTGGTTTTGCGACAGGCTCAATTCTGCATGATGATGGTTCACGGCTGCTTCCCTTCATAATATTGCCCGCGGAAAAATGACAAAACCAAACCGGCCGCACATTGGGGCATGACCTGAGACTTCACGCCATACTCGGCTCAAGCACTTTACTCACATTATTTGCCTTCTATTACAGACTGCACTCCATCCATGTGACTTCGAATACATSTCCGCCTAACTTCGAACGTCGCCTGTCCACTACCGTCCACACATCTGCGCTGTTTTTKTAGGGCCCCTCTGGATGCTTCTGTGCGGATTTGCGRCCGCAGGTATGACACTTTCTGCACACCTCACCGGAAATGGGAAAGTTTAGTTACAATGTCCGRCGATGAACTGCCGTATTTATGTTCTTATGTGAATTTGCTGAGTACTGTGGTCAGGCATGTGCCCGCGGGAACAAATGAAAACTCCCCGTCTTTCTCTATCTGCCTCGTCGTCCGGCTTGATTTTCTCACTCTCGCCACGTCTCGCCTTATGCTACTCTGTATTCCTCCCTCGGCGTGTCACAAGCCTGTTGTGTAAGCAATGCTGATCCGGAGTTCCAATTCAACTCGACAGTTCTGTCTGCCGTGTGACCTGCAATGTGCTATGTATTCTACACCTGCCTCTACACTACTCACCACCCTCTGCTCGACGCCATCTGCTCTACTCTCTATTTGTATGTGTTCTCCTCTACTCTGTATTCGACTCTGCTCTCACTGCACTCTCTGCTGGCTCTCCTCTTCTCTCGCTGTACTGCAATGTCTAAGCTCACCTACTCTCCGTTGTCACCTGCTCTCACCTCTCATATCCACTGAATGAAATTGCTTCGCATGATCCTTTTGGCCGCGGGCGGAGCTGCGCTGGCTAATCTTGTTCTAACTAAAGATAGAAATAAAGACACATATAATGCCGGAAAAGTTAAAATAAGGCCTCAACCATACATATTGCTCTTTGTTTCTAGTGTACGGCCACTGAGGTAACTACCAAACTATTCAACAACTCCACAGCATGCATACCAAATGCCAAGATACCCAGAGTAACCCAACACTCAATCACAAACCACTAAGGCTGTCATGTACACTAGAATCCCGTCGACCAGTTGAATGCCCTCCCAATCCCCAAAGCAATTCCCCAGATCTCTCTCTACCAGGCTCTATCACGCTCCCTCCAATAGCAGGTTACAGGGCAGCGCCCCAGCATCGGCAAGCATTGTTCTGGCATCGGCCACTCATGGGTTCCCGAACATAACAGTGTCAGTGCAACTTGGCTGAACTGCTAGATACCTCGGAATCTTGACTTCCAGTTCCTGCGAAGATATACACTGGTCGTAATTAACACACCAGGACCACCCATCATTCCCCTTATCCTATCTCCGGCCAGACTTATTGCAACCGAGCAACCATCTCCCTTGCTGCTATGCCCTATCTCCATCCTAGCCCCCATCGCCAGCAAGACGCATGGCGTCCAACCATCTACTTACCCCACTTAGCCTGAATCTAAGGGAACAATTTCCCCTTCCAACTTAAAGAAGGCCGGAAGTTCCAAACGGCACTCATCCCTACCCATGCGATCCCAACACGACAGGGCAAGCTGGAGTTAAACACCCTCCACGACCTAAACCCTGGTGGGCTTTTCCATGACCAGCGCTGAGCACAGGATTCGAAAAATGAACATTCAACTTGATTCAAGTTTTTTCTTTTTTTTAAACAGGACCTTACGGTCCTGGCTGCTTTTCCATTCTGGGGAGCGTCAGTCCGGTTCCTATTCCACCGGCAAGTCTGAATAAACATTACAACAATAACAGACTCACGCTTCCCTCCGTCTGGCCGAAGGACCCCTGAACAGCATTGATTACTCCAACGTAGTGGAGGATTGACTGCCAGCTTGCCCTGCTTTTCTCTTTCCTCTCAGGTCTGTTAGCTAAGCAGCCAGATATAACGTGAAAAACTAGAAAGAGCTGAGCAGCTACACAAACTGACCCTTGTAACCCCTCCTTGTAAACCTGTCCATATGCCTCAAAGCTGTCTTGTCTCTCCTTAAATCTGTTTATGAAGCGGTCCCAAAACTCTAAACCCTAAACCCTCCTTTTGAAATTTTGCATGTTACATCTTCGACGCCACACGGGTCCTACCGGACCCAACTTAGGGCTAGAGGGACACCGGTCTTTCCATCGTAAATGGAAGTCAGTCAGCGTTGCCACCTTGCCTCCTACCATCCATTCTGTGAAGAATTTTCTTTTAATTCTCCTCTACTGTTCTTCATCATCAGGCATGGGCTTTCTCTTTTTGTACCATATACCAAGGGTCTCTGCTTGACTCAAAGACCTTGCCTCCTCTCGTACCTTCTCCCTTGGGGGGTGCACGGCCTTCAAAAGATTTGCAGCACTTTTCCTTCCAGATGGACCGCAGCCTTACTGTTACATCTTCGACGCCACACGGGTCCTACCGGACCCGACATAGGGTAGAGGGACACAGTAGGGCCAAAGGCCCGACCTTGGGGGTACTACAGGCCGTAAAGGCCTTACCTTGGACCAGACCCG